GCAGCATGGTCTGGACGTCCGGTAGGGACCCAGACCAGCTGGGCCGTTTCTGAGGCCAGCATCAGGTAGGCCCAGCCCGCCCAGCGCTACAAATAACTGGGCAGCGGTTGGGCAAGGACAGTTCGACTAGCTCACTTCTGGAGCGACACGCTGCTGGTTGGAGGCAGCGTTATTCTGCGCTAAGCTACGGAGTAGGGAGTAGTGGCGTAGGTAGTAGAGAAAGGCGGAGGCCTTACCTGCAAGCGGCGAGCATACCTGGCGCCATAGCTGGGCTCCACGCGGTACCTGGAGAGAACAGCCCACGGAACATGCTCCCATTTTAAGGCTAGTAGTATATAGGTAGGTAGTGGAAGGCATATTAAGAGAAGAATGTAGGCTAGTTTTCAAAAAAGAAAAGAAAAGAAGGGGAACCCCAAAGAAGGGCGAAGTATAGAACGTCAAGAAAGGGATATAACGGATCTATTCTGCTAAATGTTGTTACTATAGAGGTCATCTCATGTATGATTCATTGTCTGCAATAGATGTAGAGCTGCATCAATATTGGATCTTCTCATCTGGGTGGAACAAGTGCTGAGGTGGTGAAAATCCACAACACACACACACACACACACACACTTACAGAGACAAAGACCTTGAATCTTCTATTATATTGAACAGTACCCAGGCTCCTGACACCTGGCGCGAGACAATGGTTCCACAACCAGCCAGGAGGCCCAAGCCAACTATCTCTGCTGGTGAACCCGAAGCGCACCCAGGAGCTGTGGGGATCGAAAGGACGACGTGGGGAATCGAACCCACGACCTCCTGAATGCCACTTACGTGCTCAACCAACTGAGCCAGCCCTCTTGGGCGTTTGGGGTACCCCTTCTATTTGTTATTGCAGCTCCCTCTTTACTTATCCTCTCATGTACAAGGCTGACCATGTTTATTGTGGTGAAACCACCAGTACTTGGCCCAGCTATAGACCATGGAGACAAAATTATAGAGTAGAAACGTTTCTAGTTGGATGAATTTGGGCGCTCCTGTAGTGGCCCGTACGTTTCCTAGAACTGTTGCTTGTTAGCGGGCACAACTTTAGGAAGTACTGGTGCCACTCTGGTGGTTTAAGCGCCAGCCGCCCATACCGGTGTGCCTTTGCGGCCCACTTGCACGTCAGAGTAAAGGGGGAGGTGTATACTCTTGTTGATTTTTCTTCAGATCTTCAGCTTATATTTAGTCTGTTCTCTTAATGGTGGTCATTCGTGTGCATTTACTAGTAGCACGCAAAAGGATGGAGGAAGGAAAGGGGAAGGGGTGGAGTTCTGTAGGAGGAAAGTGCAGGGGCTAAGACCATAACAGAGGTAATGCGAACTTAACAGAATAGACTACTCTAGACTAGCACAAGAGGCCATTCAGTTTTTGGGTTGCAGGAGATTTTTGACTTGAGGAGCTGCCGTTGCCGATGGTAAGTGGCCACCGCTACAGACCTGACAGGTGCAGTTCAGGTGTGGACTGTGGATGCACCTCATCCAGTTCTCACAGTTGCTGTTGCTGCATCAAATGGCACGGCGTAGACAGATGTCACACACTACATGGCGTGTGTGTGTGTGTGTGTGTAACAGTGTGTTGTCATGTTTGCTATATACAACTCGAAAGTGTGTGTGGGGGGGGGAGGGGGAGAGAGAGAGAGAGAGAGAGAGAGAGAGAGAGAGAGAGAGAGAGAGAGAG